CCTATTCCAATAAAGAAGTTTCAGTTTTACCAGATGTAGAATGAAAGGCAGTTCCTCTGGCAGTCATTCAGGAGCAGCCACTGTCGAATGGAAATTACACCCTGTCCATTTCTGCGTAAGTCTGCAGGACAGCTTCTCATTTGCATCCAGTGCACGGCATTCCTCATGTACAGCTGTCAGCTAAGGGGTCTGAAACCTTGAACCAAAGGACCACAGTGATTTGTATCCTCAGGCTTCCCTTCTAAATGTGTTAAACACTGGTCCTATCAGAAGGAACATTTTGGTGCTGCAAGTTTACCAATTTTGCTCTCCTTCTCTCTCCCCCACTCCACCTTCTTTCCCTGCTTCCCCGTCCTTCCTCCTCCTTCCCCCTACTCCCCACTGTGACCTGTTTCTGATTATCTCAGGTTCTGCTTTTTGTGCTATAAATGCATATTAATTTGAACTTATCTTGGTTGCATAAAGACAGACAGTGCTATGGTTTATTTTGAGAGCTACAGCAGAAGGTGAAATAATTTATAATGATTTAATATAATTTAGGTAGCTTGGTGACCATTAAAGGGTAGGCTGCATTAAAGTCTGTATTTTATTTACTTATTTGCCTGCTTGCTTAATTAACTAATAATCCTGGTGCTTAACTTGATGACTGACTTGGTGCCTAACCCACGAAAACTGTGCTTGACAAATCTTTGCTACTGAATGAACAGCAGGAAAAGACACCTGTTCTAGTCACTCTGGCATAGGAGACTCAAACAAAAAGTAACACGTTGTTGGTATTCCATCTTCTTCAGTCCCAACTCTCCTCACGCACTCTCTTGACTTAGTGGAATGAAATAGGCAACAATGGACAAGCTATTAACACCTCAGAGCCTCTGTTTTTTCATTTATAAAATATGAGTAATAATCGTACTGACTTCATAGGATTACTATTAAGATTGAAAGATTACACTTGTGCTGGGCGCAATAAGATATTAATCTATAGTTGTTACTACAATTATCATTGTTTTTATTAAAATTTTTAAGGAGCTAATAAGAATGATGATGTTTATAAATGCCAACTAGTAACTTCATAAATGCCAACAAGATAAATGCAACAAATAAACGTCCTTTATTAACAACAAAAAAAATCTCATTACATACCAAGTTTTTCTTCTAGATAATAATAAATTAGTTCGTGTATAAGGAAAGATTTTTTAATATCTGTGGCCTATTCTCATGCCTGAAGTAATGTACAGGTATTTTTATTTACTCGACAACTGTAGTTGTCTGAATTGTGACCCCCCAAAAGTTATGTTGAAATCCTAATTCCTAATACCTGCAGAAAGAGGGATTTTATAGAGATAGTCGTCCTGAGGAGCATAGTGGATTAGGATGGGCCTTAAACCCAGTAACTGGCATCTGCGTATGAGAGAGCCGAGCAATATTCAGAGGCAGCGATTCAGACACAGAGGGAAGGAGGCCATGCGAAGATGAAGGCAGCGTCTGGGAAGACGCAGCTGTAGGCCACGGCAGCCACAGAAGCAAGAACAGGCAAAGAAGGAACTGTCCCGAGTCCGTCACAGAGAGCATGGTCCTGCTGGCACCTGGGCTTTTAACTTGAAGGCTCAAGAACGATGAGAAAATAAATTTCCGTCATTTTAAGGCACAAAACATTGATACCGTGCTTTGCTATGACCGGCCTCAGAAACTAATACAATAACTTACAGAAAAGGGGGCCATTTTTCTCCACTTTTTAAGTTCATTGTGAAAAAGAGCTTTTAAAATATCTTTAGTTGGATTTTGTTTAAAAAAATATGGTTTGTAGTCAGGAACTTCACACTTCATTTTCCTTTTTAAATTTTTTTGGAGGGGAATGATATTTATAAACTATGGAAATACAACTACAGGATATGTTTAAGTAATGTTACTAATCTTTAAGGAGTGTGAGTTACATTCTTATAATGTGGAAGTTCTTTATAATGTTTTCCAGGAGACGAGGTTTTTGAACTCTATGTGCAGGAAACCATTACATGGGGGAAAATATTGCTTTATGGGTCTCTGGCTGGGACTTTTAAGTGTTATGTACAAGAAAACATTGAAACTGGGGGAAGGGAAAGATGTTACATAGAGTGACCTTGTCTTACGTCCCAAAAGGCCAAATTCTAAGTAGTGTTAATAGGTATTTTTCAAATTCATTCTTATTCAGTTGTCTTTGTTCACACTGATTTTACTTGCATTTAAAAAAAATTTCCTGTGCAGGTAAAATCAAAATTTAAGGACAAAGCTTTTCGACTACAATCCTACAGTGCTTTTTGAGATATCACAATTCTATTAGGGTAAAGGATACATGATCTGCTTCCCAAATTATGAATTCATAAACATATAACTGAGGTCATTCAGTAGTCGGGGAATCCAGGACTTGTGCAGCAGGCAGCATGGGGAAGGAGAAAGAGCTTTGAAGTTACACAGAACTCGGACAGCTGTAGGACATTGGTCAATTCAGGTACATATATTTACCTTTTCGTTTTCTCACCCGTACAATTATATGTATTACCTCATTGTGCTTGAAAGGATTATTTGAGTTAATTATATAAAGTAGATAGAATCGTTTCTAATATTTATGGAAGATGAATAAATATTTTTCCTCCTTCTTCTTCGTTAAATCTTTAACGCGCACCTGAGATCACCTCTGTGCCTCTACATCCGGGAACGTAAGGGAGGCTGGATGAAATTCCAGCACTATGTTCACAGACCCGAGTTATGGTGGGATGACTGGGAAATTCCGGCATCGGCCTTAGCAGTGTGGAACCTGCTTAGCAGTGTGAGAGTTCCCTTGGAAGGAGCGTAGAGGTTTCCATCATTCCAGGCAGTGCCTCGGACGTGCCTGTTCAGGTGTGATCACAGGGCTTGCAGGGGATGGCTGCTCACCTTGCGTTTTCTATGTTGTACAAAGGAAAGAATACTGAATTGGGAGCAGTGATAGTCTGGGGGAAATCTCTCTATTCTACTTGGTCCTTAGTTCCTTCAACTGTAAACAGGTGGGAATAGATTAATTTCCAAGATTATTTTGGAGATACGTTAGCTAAGGTATATTTTGGACTTGGACACCCATTGGTTTGAACTTCAGCTCTGCTACATAATACCCCCCTCCACCAAAAAAAAAAAAAAGCCCATACACACATTAGTTCCCTTTCACTAGATCAGTGGTTCTCAAACTACAGCATGAATCAGAATCACTTGGAAGATGTTAAACACAGAGGAGGGCGCCCCAGAGTTTCTGACTCAGTACATCTGGTGGGAGGACCCAAGAATTTGTATTTCTAATAAGTACCCAGGTGATGTTCCTGATTATACTTAGAAAACCAATACTCTTTCACAGAACTGTACACTTGAAACCTATATAATCTTATTAACCAATGTCAACCCAATACATTTAATGAGGAAAAAAAAAAAAGGAAACCCACATTCTGGATCAGGAGTCAGCAAAGTACAGTATTTGGGCCCAATTTGGTTCACTGCTTGTTTTTGTAGTTTTATTGGAACACATACATCCGCAGTTGGTTTACACACTTTCTGTCCATAGCTACCTTTGCACTAGAGTGGGAAATTTGAGTGGTTGCAACAGTGACTAGCACATAAAACCTGAAATATTTACCATGCAGCCCTTTACAAGAAAGTTAGCAGACTTGTTCTAGACTATCATGTGATATTCTTCCCAAGTACTTTTGGGACTCTATTTAAAATGCATTTTCTGTCTGGAGACCTAGATATCTTCCCAAATATTAGAAAACATGACCTCTAAATGCTTGAAGACTTAACTGAATCCAGAGAAATACAGTGGTGATCTTGTTTAGCATAGTTGTTAAGAGGTCTCTTGGGTTTGAACCCAGGTTCTACCACTTATTGCTGTGTGGCTTTGGATAACGTCACATTTTATGTATTAAATGGGGATAGTAATAGTACTTATCACATAGGGTTATCATGAGAAAATTAAGGGAGCTACACATTTGGAGCACTGATATATAGAAAGCCATTAGTAAGTGTTCATTATTACCATTACTATTATTATTAAGGAAAAAGAAATTTCAGAGTGTTCTGTTCTCAGACACATGTCTTCCCTTCCCATCTTTTTCAAGATCATTAAGAGCATTCATTGTGTGTTTATGATAGCAATGCAGCCACTTACTCTGGTTCAAAGTATTTGATCACAAATCTTGCTATCTCTAATAATTATCAAAAGCAAAGAGAAAGAATTTCATTTTTATGGGAGTGATTCATTAGAATTAATGACAAAATTAATAGGATGAACCTTATCCAAATCCCTGCTTTTCCAGCCGTCCTTTGTGGGGACTTAAAGGCTTTTCTGAAGTGGGAAGGAGATCAAAGTTCCCTTAAATCAAAAAAATCCAGTGTATCATACTAAGAAATCTCTGCGGTGAAGCCTAAATTTTATCCTGAATTGTTTGTTCTGAGTCTGAAGCTCTCCAGAAAATCCTTGTGAAATAAGTTCTCTTTGGGTTCTGTCATAGGGTTGTTTTGCTTGTAGAATGTTGCCTTCTAATAATAATTGAACTTGAAGCACCAAGCACACAAATTATGAAATATAGAGGCTCACTCTGTGACACGAACACAGTATGTCAGCTCCACTCTTTCTCATTTTGTCCAGACTGTAATCTTGTTCTCACTCAACAGTCTATCACCACTTTTTTTCTTTAATCTCCTAACAGCACAGCAGTCTGAGTCAGGCAGATCTAGATTCAAATCCGAGTTTTCCCTCCTAGTGGTCATGAGCCTGGACCTCTGTTTCCTCTTTTCTAAAATGGGGTAATTGATGAATGTGGGTATTGCGGACATTAAATATTAGAGCAAATGACGAGTGCTTTTCAGAATTCCTGATGCTTATAAGGGCTGCACGGATGTTACATCTCTGTCTTTTACCCCCATCACACTCGCCATTTTTTTAACTATGTAATGCCACTTTGTAATCTGTCTTTACTTAGTCCTTTAAATGCGGTTTTCTAGTGCTCACTCGGGCAGCACATACACTAAAATTGGGACGATACCGAGAAGATAAGCATGGCCCCTGGACAAGGGTGACACGCAAATTCATGAAGGGTTCCATATATTTTGGTGTAAAACTAAATGAAAGTAATACATGAACAGACAATGAAAACAAAAACTCAAAGACACAGACAACTGCGTGGTGGTTACCAGAGGAAAGGGGAGGAGGGGTTTTAAAGGGTAAAGGGGTCAGATACATGGTGATGGAAGATGGTGTGACTTCGGGTGGTGGGCACGCAGTGCAGTGTACAGGTCATGTGTCAGAGAAGTGTGCACTTGAAACCTATGTGATTTTATTCACCAATGTCACCCCAATACATTTAATTAAAAGATAAATAAGTTGGGAAACATGAAAAAACATGATTTCATAAATAACAAGGATCTGTGTCCCTGAAGCTGACTTGTAGCCCTATAGTCATCAGTGAAAGAATAAAAAGCAGCTGGGACTAGGCTTAAATGTTCCTTTAAAAAGTAATTCAGGGAGAGCTGGAGAGTGCCAGAGGACCAGAGGTATCATTTAGGCCAGGATAAATTAATTGCTGCTAGGGAGCATTGAATTACTGTGGGAGAAGCCCTGTGGTGTTAATAAGGCAATTAACACTTGGGTTAATAGTAGCTACCCATGGGCACTTAGGCTGTTTCCAACACTTGGCTATTGTAAATAGTGCTCCTATGAACATCAGGGTGCGTAAGTTCTTTTGAACTGGTGTTTCAGGATTATTAGGATATATTCCAAGCAGTGGAATCTCTGGGTCAAAAGCAAGTCCATTTTTAACTTTTTGAGGTAATTCCATCCTGCTTTCCACAGCAGCTGCAGCAGTCTGCATTCCCACCAGCAGTGCACTAGATTCCCTTTTCTCCACATCCTCGCCAGCACTTGTTTGTTGATTTATTAACAATAGCCATTCTGGCAAGTGTGATGATATCACATTGCGGTTTTAATTTGCATCTCTCTGATGGCTAGTGAGGCTGAGCATTCTTTCATATATCCCTGGGCCCTATGTATGTCCTCCTTGGAGAAGTGTCTATTCAGGTCCTCTGCCCATTTTTATATTGGACTGGTTGTCTTCCTGGTGTTGAGTCATGTAAGTTCTTTATATATTTTGGAGCTTACGCAATGGAATACTATGCAGCAGAAAGAAAGAAGAAGGAATCCCTACCCTTTGCAACAGCATGGATGGAACAGGAGACTATTATGCTAAGTGAAATAAGCCAGTCAGTGAAAGACAAATACCATATGATCTCACTTATAAGAGGAATCTAAAGAACAAAACAAACTAATGAGTGAAACAGAACTAGTGACATGGAAACAGGGAACAGACTAGCTGCTGCTGGAGGAAAGGGTGGCAGAGGGGGAGTGGTGGAAGGAAGGAGAAGGGAGAGTCCAAGAACATGTTTGAATGACCCATGGACATGGACAACAGTGTAGGGATGGACTGTGGGAGTGGGGTATGGGCGGGATGGAGGAGTGAAAAGGGGGGAAATTGGGACAACTGTAATAGAATAAACAAGAATTAAAAAATAGTAGCTAAATCCAAGTCGAAACACGGGATTGAAAACAATGAAAACGGCCTGGGGTGGTTATAGATGCAATTAAGTTGAATACACACATATATATTTTAGAACACTGAACTGCTGAACTAGTGAGGGTACAAAACAAGAGCTGTTATTTTTTTTTAAATGCCCTCTAACCATAAGAAAAATACAACATATAAATAGTATTAAAGAACTTATCTTTATTAAAAAAACATGGGTGAGTGTAGAGCTTACTTATTCCTACATCTGTACAGTACTTCTCCACTCTAGAAGTAAATCCAGCTATCTTACTAATATTTCCGCAATTCCATATTTCTGGATGACAGCTTTGGAATTGCTGGTGACACCTCTGTCGGCCTGACCATCACTGCAATGGATCCAAAGTTGCAGAACTAAACCAAGATCTGCAACTTTTTGAGTCAAAACCAAACTCTAAATCTTTAACTTTGATGATAAAACTCTACAGTTCAAGCTTCAGTTCCTTCTTCTCTGCTCTCAGTCAGATATAACTTTTCCCCATTCTCCAGGCAGTGCCCCTCTATTTCTTCATTCTTGGTTCTTGCCTACAGGAATTGGCTTCATCTCTCTGTCGCAAACACTGCAATTCCTTCCAGGGAGCAAGAGGAATTGCCTTGAGTTCAGTATTCCCATTATCGTGGCAGATGATGATTCAGAGGAGACCTGCAGAAATCTTAACCTAGTACAAAAACATGCCATTTTTTACATGGCAAGCTGGTCTCAGTAATACCTCACTAGCACCTCCTAGAAACTTCATAAACACATGTTGATTTAAAATAGAAATTAAAGTGATGATTACAACATAAAGTAATCCAATTTTCTCCTAAACTGGAAAGTTTTAAAATCTGAGGGCAAAAATACTTTGAATTAAGTATTAACTTTATAGCTGTTTTGTCATGTTGTTTTATCGATACATGTTTGAAAGTTTCCTGTAACCTTCGAATAAACAATCAGAACCTCCTAAAAGGTGCTGGAGAGCTGAATAAAGAATAAAGTCTCGGCCCTGGCTGGTGTGGCTCAGTAGATTGAGTGCCAGCCTGTGAGCCAAAGGGTCACCGGTTTAATTCCCAGTCAGGGCACATGCCTAGGTTGTGGGCCAGATCCCCATTAGAGGGTGCACAAGAGGCAACCAACTCTCCTTCTTTCTCCCTCCCTTCCCTTCTCTCTAAAAATAAATAAACAACAACAACAAAAAAGAATAAAGTTTCAAATATGCTTGCCTGCTAGAGAACATGGTACTTACACAAATTCATCAAGTTTGGAGTTTACGTTTCTACCTTATCTCACGTCAATGACAAATTCAAACTTCAGAAGGCAAGAAAAATTTGCCTAGGTTGGTTTGATCAAGGTTGGTTTGATCGAGATTGTTTCAAACTCAGTTATTCCTAATTTATTCTAGAATCTTTCTTCCTGAAAGGAGCTTATATTTCATTGGCTTCTAATCAATGAGGCTGACTATATCTCAATTAGCTTATTTATTGTTTAGATTTATAAACATTTCTGAAACATAAACAATGACCACAACAAAGAGTTCAGAATTGCCTAACTTACTCAGGAATTGAAGTAGGGTGTCAAGGGGCAGTGGGTGTGGATGTTGTGGCACCGTTGGATGACAGAAGGTGGCACTGAGGAGCACTAACCAGACTGATGGAGAAGTACCCATTCTCCCACCACCGACGCCTGCCTTGCATGGCTATTAATTTGTAAAAGTCATTCAGCCTTTCAAGATTAAAACATGGATGTTTACTTTCTCAAAGAACTGACCCAGTGGCAGAGAAGAATTTATTAAGAGTCAGACAGTTACACAATGATCTCAGGGAAATGTGTAAAGAGCATCCTGATGATTACAATGATGTCTTTGTTTTATGCCAGAGCATCTTAATTTTATTTGGCTTCCTTGATGCTGGCATTGAAATACACAAACAGCTGTTTTACATCAATGCTCACTTGGTACATTCCACATAGTTTATCAGTTATGAAGTACAAGCAATCAAATCCCCAATTTCTCAGCAGCCCACAGGGCTAGATAAAATATGCTTTCCCAAGGCAAAATGGTTTCAACTCTGTAGCTAGCAGTATTTTACACTAGCCATGTACCTTCCTCTCTGCCACTAATATATTTTTTCCTGTTGCTTTTAGCACCCATAACTAATAATACCCTACACCTAATTTCAGGCTGTGCACTGTCCTCATCTCAACTGTATTAGTTCACCCTAATCCTGTTTCCTTGAGTGAACATCACAGATGGCATCTTTTATAATTAGCATGTTGGTTGGTCATACAGATTTAGTACTGTTTAGAGGATAGTAGGATAGAATTTGTGTCTGGGGGCTCAGGTCTACTCCCTTTCCTCCCTTGGACGCTGGAATACTTGATAATCTAAACTTTATGTTTCTATTATTTAACAAGCTGAAAAACATATTCCATAATATATGTAAGTGAGTACATATCCTGAGGGGAAAATCTGACTGTATGTATTCAAGATACCAATATTCTCCTAATGCATTTTGCATCTCATCAATATGCAAAAACATCAATATGCAAAAACATCAATATGCAAAATGTACTCATAATACAGAAAGGTAAAACATTTTGAAACTCCTGCTGGTTTTCTGAAAAAACTACTGCAGTTAATGCATGATTACAGTAGTAAAATACCTAATAAATGATTATCAAATACCATTTAATTTACAGTGAGTCTAAATCCGTTTAATACAAGTTCAAGAAAAAAATTAATAAAATATGTTAGGTATTAATTTTTCCAAATAGCGATTAATTTGGCATGATGTGGATAATTTAACCCCATAAAAGAAATTAATGGGATTTCAAATAAATATATGATGACACATAATAAATGTGTGAACTTGGCAATAGGGAGGAAATAAAAGTGAACTGAAAAAAATAGCATAAAATGAGGTACATGGGAAAACAACTGAGATGTAGCAACCTTCCAACACTGAGGAAATCATATACAAGCTATAATGCAAACAAACTTGAGGGTGCCTCCTCATGTCACACTTCTAAGGCGGAGAATTCTGACATCACTACTAGAGAACTTAGAATGAGTAAACTATGGTTAATCATTTTAATGGGAGCATAATATTCATTAGTTATTACTAGTGATACTTGTAGACATACTCTCTTTCTTCCATTTCTTAGTTACTAGAAAAATGAAACTATTCCATACCAACTCCTCTGCAATAATGTAGTGTACGGTGTTTCCCACACCATCGGAAGACTCACTTTCACCCTGTGATCCTGGAATAATGCTACCTCTGATCAAGGTGATCTGAGAATCTCCCTCTGAACTAAAAATTCCAGTTCCCACTAACTGGGCTCCGCTTTTGGCCCCCTCCACCAGAATCTGCTCCTAAGTGACTAGATTCCTATTTTGCTGCCAATCTTTATCTGATCATGCTGCTTAAAAGAATTCTAGTCCCTCGCCTGCATACATGTACTTAAATAAAACAGGATTTATTGTTTTTCATTGCTCACTCCAAACATGACTTAATT